CCTAACCTCCATAGAGGTGCACGACTTTGTATTGTCGTGGAAATGAGCCCATGGTACGAGAGGAGGGGGGAGGGTGGGATTCTACAAAGAAATGGGATGAGGGGGCGATGGGGCAGAAGGGGCAGAAGGGGCAGAAGGGCCCCCCCCATCCCCACTGCGGTGCGAAGCCTTTGACAAACTGAAGCCTAAATGGGACGTTCTGAGGCTGTCTGAGGGAGAAACTTTAGCTCATGAAGCTTCAGAAGTCGAGACATTATTGGTTGGGTTAGGGTTAGGGTTAGGTTTAGGTTGGGTTAGGGTTAGGTTTAGGTTGGGTTAGGGTTAGGTTTAGGTTGGGTTAGGGTTAGGGTTAGGTTGGGTTAGGGTTAGGTTTAGGTTGGGTTAGGTTTAGGTTTAGGTTGATCCATTGTGTTTGGTTAGAACTGTGATCCAGCTGGACTCTGTAAATGGAAACATGACAAATACTAGTACTGGCAGAACTTCTGTTTACTCGTACTTGGCATGTTCTGACCTACTGGTACTGCACCGTGATGCACATACATGTGCTACTGTGGCAGGGTTAGGGTGCTACTACCCATGTCAGAACACGGCCCAGTGTTAGCAGCCTTAGAGGTCTGGGCCGGTTCTGGCTGTTTTTGCAGACTTTTAGTTTTGTGTCTATGCGCCTGCAGCGCGTGTTTCATATGCTTATATTTTACACGTTTTTTGTCACGCATGTTCATAACATCATATCTCTGGTTTTACGTGGTCTGTCGACATGAAACAAAAACTGGGAGAGTTTAAGGCCTGCACTTTAGAGGGAAGTATATATGACAGTTTTCCTGTTGTGATGCCTCAAACATGACATATGATTATGTCTCGCCGATGTGACGGCGGATCTCTAAGGGTTCAGTCGGCATTTTGTTAAGAGGGCGCAAGCCAGGAGTCTGAGGGCGCAGCGCCCCCTAAAATTATTTAGACAAACCTCTGCGGTGAGCACAAATGTGGAACATGCTGCGACTGCTTGGGGTTCAGAGGGTTCAACAGCAGACAGCACAATGGGCCGGTGTGTCCGTAGCACTTGTAGAACTGAGCTGCTCCCTGATGAACACGACTGAAGCCGTCCAGCAGTTGAACCTGATGACTGACCAACTGCTGTCGCTGCCTAAAAGCCTCACACTCCCCCTGACCTCCAGGTTCTCATCCCCTACGATGCTCCTCTGGTGCTCTGCCACGGTGAGGTCATGTGTCATGAACAGTGCTGGTTGTGGCTTTTTCTCCCATTGATCCAGCCAGCTTGATGAAGACCCTGAACAGCGGCGTACAGCTCCTCTTTAGTCTTTAGTCTGACCACTTCTCCATCACTCTAATTCCAAAGGAGCTGAAGCAGAGACCAGGCTAGAAGGAGGCAGCTAATCGTACACAATACCTTCTTGTTTTTTGTTTTTTGGACGTTTCTATACGTCACAGTGTTGCTGTACCACCATTATAACATTCTTGAGACTGTGTGATTTGTATACAGGTTTTACTTTAATTCTTAGGATGGTAATGTAAAAGTAAAACATAAGAATGGTCAGTATCTTAGTTGTAAAGTCCTGCCTCAGACACTGTTTTGATCCCTACAAACCCATCTGTGTATTAAAATTGCATGTTTTAAAGTTTTTTTTTCAGTGAAAATGACCTCCTCCAGTGGTACGGTGGCTTGGCTGTTATTCTACCCTCTAGAATATAACACACACATGCTGTGCACAGTAGCACGCTGGAGTATCGCAGTAATTCATTCATACATGTTAGAACCAGAAACCGGTTGTGAAGAAGAACAATGATGTGCAAAGACTGGTTGGTTGTGCATGAACAGTCTACGTTTAAGTCTTTCCTTGGTACGCTGCAGTTTAATTCTGTTCAAGTCAGGTTTGTTTATGTGGCGCCGACTCACAACATAAGTGATGTCGAGGCACTTCCACCATCTGGACATGTTCACAAGGTAATTACTGGATTTTCACTCGAGGGGGTCTTTAAAGTTTTACCTTTTTATCTTGCAATCTATTTTCCATTTCAGTCTTTCGTGATGCATTTCCACAAAGGCACCGTGTTGGCATGTGGTCGCCACGGTGAACCACGCTGCCTCCTCTGAGCCAGCTCTGTGCTTGCAGAGTATTATCAGCAGATGCCACTGACAGAATGAAATGTGATGCTGGTGCTTATGACATGTTTTCCGCCGTTTGACATTGTAGTATGATGGATAACATACGGGAGTGGGAGTGTTCAGCACACGCCGGCAGTTGGCAGTTTTTTAAAGCCAGTCATGGTGAGTTTAGCTGGAGCGAAAGCAGAAGACTGTAAAGATGTGTTCCTCCAAAGGCAGTTGCCTCATTTGAAGCACTTGGTTATGATACATCTTCTGCATGTATTTCTGCGCCAAGCTGAGAAGAGACGCATCTGTTGTTGAAATTATTTTCCTTTGTAGCACAGGAACAAACAAATGCATCTAGAAAATAAATCATTGTGTTTCTCCAACAAAACAAGAAATCGAGCATGAAATGAACAGAGCGATAAGAAACGAACAAGCATCAGGCAGTGGCAGGAGAAACAGCAGCAAGCATAAGCCTAACAGTGTTTCAGTCCTGCTTTCCAACAGACGGATAGCAGCCAGGCTTTGTGCATAGAACCGTCCTTGCATTATTATTCTTCCTCCTTCCTTCCTCCTCCTCTGTTCCCCTTCAGCACTCCTCCACTCCTTACTCCGCCTCATTCCTCTCATCCTCTAAGACGATAATCACTGGGCTTGGGCTTCACTCTCACTCCCTGCTGCCGCTGTGAAAGTGTACGCTTGCACCTGCACATGTGTGTAGAGTATGTGTGGGTTTTATCCCCGCTAAGCGCATACATGTGTGGGTGAATGTATGCATGAATATATCCATGTATGTGCTCTGTCATACGTGGCGGTCCGCCCCTACAGCGGATGTGTGTGCTGGTATGTGGGCTAAATGCAGGTTGGTTAGCATCATTAAACTGTTATATAAGTGGACACGTGCACACACATGTTCATACATAACCTACATACATACGTAGCTGCTTATAAGACGATTAGTTGTGAGGCTTGTGTTTCGACTCAAAGCAAATTATATTTCCTGGATAATGGAGAAGTTCATCCACCCATGCGTTTATTTCCTCCCACATGTCCGGGCTGCCGAGGCTGCAGCCTGAGCAGAGCTGCCCAGTCCTGCCCCACCAGCGCCACCTCCTGGAGCTCTGACTCTGACGGGTTCCCAAACCAGCCAAGGGACACAAACTGTCCAGCGTACAGGGCCTGCCCCAGGATCTCCTGGATCCGAAATGCCCAAAACACGTCCACAGGAGGGGCCTGGAGGCATCCCATATGGACCACGTCACTGTGTGATGTGGGGCATCCCTCTTGAATGACCGAGCTCCTCACCCGGTCTCTGAGGTCTACCCCAGACATCCGCCGCTTGTGTCCGCCATCTCATTCTTTCGGTCAATATCCTCAGCTCTCAGCCGTTGGTGAGGGTAGGAACGTAGATCGACCAGTAAATCGACAGCTTTGCCTTTTGGCGCAGCTCTCTCTTTACCACAACAGACAAGTATAGCGCCCGCATCACTGCAGATGCCACACCAATCCATCTGTCGATTCCACCCTTTTTTCCATCTTAAACCGCGGCTTTGGGGTTATCGTTAACCCAGCCGCTTCACGCTCGACAGCAAACCGGCCCAGTTCCAGCCTGGAGGTCACCGCTTGACGAAACCAACAGGACAGCGTCATCTGCAAAAAGCAAAAAGATGCGACTCCGCGCCCACCACACCCGACACGCTCCACCACTGGGCTGCACTGATGCCAGGGCAGCCTGTGGGTGGGCGTTAAGAAGGGGTTTGTAATGCTAAGCTACACTTTGTATGGGGGTGTGTTTGAATTAGCTACACAAAAGCATTTTTTTGCTTTTAAGTTGTCAAATACATCGACGAGCGAGGCTGCAAGGTTGACAGGCGTAGGTTTGAACTGTTGGTTTAAAACGGTGAAGCGACCTGTGTTCAGCACGTATGTCGGACCTCACCAACACGTTTTGTTGTCGTGCCTCCATGTCATCTCCATGCATGGATCAAATAGACTTTTTAAAGATTTTCTTGTGAATGCATCCATGAGAGCTGATACTGGAGGGTAACATGGAGAAACGACACTTCTCATCAGAGCTACACCTGCTAGTTAGCATTTGTCACGATGGTTGTGTCTCATATCAGACTATTTCAGAATATTTTTATCAAGCTCTTCGTATTGACACCACTTTCTACTGAAACGATACCTTCAACCCCCTCGGCCCCAACACACTGCAGGCCTGTCGTATCATAATGAGATAATCATTTAAAGCATAACCCGGCTTTATTTCTGTCTTTGTCTTTTTCATCTCTTCAGATCACCAGAAGCTGGAGCGAGAGGCTCGGATTTGTCGTCTGTTGAAGCACCCCAACATTGGTGAGGACTCGTGCTTTTCTTTTCTCTCCCCATGAACCACAGTGAATATATA